AAGGAAAGGAAAGGAAAGGAAAGGAAAGGAAAGGAAGGAAGAAATAGTGTTGAAAAGATAAATAAAGAGAATCCCATACATTTAGGCCTTGCTCAGGATCTCTGCTTGTTTCAGCCCCATTTACTGGTTGCCTCCAATGTTGGTCCTGACCGAACGAAAGCTGGTATCTCCAGTTACTAAAGTGCAGTAGAAGTTTCTGGCTTGTACATTCTATCTGACACAGATTGCAAATTATCGGAGGGGCTGTCCTTTTTCTAAGAATTTCTACCCGTCCAATTCTATCTAACAGATTGGGCATATTATAGATCAGCCAAAGAGTGTCAGCTATGGGGACTTGTAGACCGGGGTCTTTTCTGCATTGGCCCTGTGGAACATCCTTCCCTCAGCCATTAGGATGGCTCCAATCCTATTGGCCTTTTAAAAAGGTTTAAAAATTTGGCTATGATCTGGAGCCTGGGGCACTTGAATGCATTAAAGGTCCCATTTCTTGACTTTACTGTGAACTGATTAACTGCCTCGGCTGCTATGTATATTTATTCTGGAAGTGTTTATAGTTTTGCAATTGTAAGCCGCCTCAGCAGATGGGCTGTTAGATAAAATGAATGAATGAATGAATGAATGAATGAATGAATGAATCAATCAATCAATCAATCAATCAATCAATCAATCAATCAATGTGGAGTCTCCAATCCACATTTTTCTTGACTCTCTCATTACTAAGGATTTTGGTCATTGTTGTTGCTCTTCCTTTTCTCTTCCTTCTCTTTAGGTGAATGAAATTTATCACGATGAATCCCTGGGCATCCACATAAACGTCGTGCTGGTTCGTATGATGATGTTAGGTTATGCCAAGGTAAATAAACCAGGTGAAGGGTTCATCTCTCTCCTGCACGCGAACACGTCTTACGGGTCTTAACGGAACAGGATCTTAGGATCCAATCCAAATACATAATGGGTTGGGTTTGGACTTAGCACGCCAGATGATCCCGATCATTGTGGTTAATTCAGTAAGCCATGATTAAAACAATTCATGGCTGCTTGTTTGTTACTCAGTTCATATAGCACGGATAGAAAAGAATATTTGTAGCTCAGGGTTCAACTGTGGAGTCTCTGAGCTTGGTATTTTCTTGCAGACATTTCATTACCCAACTAGCTAACACCATCAGTGCTAGAAGGGAGTGGGGTTTGGTCTTTGTTTATATCCAAGTGATTTGCATTGTCAGTGTTGGTGGGAATGGGAGTGAAACAACAAGACCACTTCCACCAACAGCGACAAGGCAAGCCACTAGAATATAAACTGAGAGCAAAGCTCATTCCTTACTAGCACTGATGATGTTACTTAGTTGGGTAATAAAATGTCTGCAAGAAAACAATCAACCTCAGAGAGCACCAAGGACACCACAGTTGTCCTCCTCCTCCTCCTCCTCCTCCTCCTTTCTGCAAATCCCATTCCCTTCTAACCCTGATGATGTTACCTAGTTGGGTAATGAAACGTCTGCAAGAAAACAACCAAGCTCAGAGAGCACCAAGGACCCCACAGTCGTCCTCCTCCTCCTCCTCCTCCTCCTCCTCCTCCTCCTCCTCCTCCTCC